TAAACGATTATTTCGCATGGGCAACGTATGGCCTAATCACTGCGGTTTTAGGTGCTGGACACATTTTTCTTTTGAATTTCCTGCTACACTACCAAGAAATCACATTCCAACTGCGTCGTTGCAGATTTCCTTGCACTAAACTACGTCAGCTGCGGTTCTGAAATAACGGTTATCGAAGACCTGAAAATGTCTCATTTCCGATGCTCGAAAGAGCCACAGATCTCACAACCATAAAACAAGACAGCCTACAATGTTACATGCCACACATATCTTGAGACTCATGCACACGCCACCATAGGTGAGATGGACCAAGTGGTTAGAGCGCGAATTTACTGACCGGAAGGTCCGTGGTTCGAACCCGACCTCGTGCCTCCGTGTTGCATGGCAGCTAGGCACTGAAAGGGTGCTACAGCTGAACGATAGGTGTTACAGATTATAAAATGCCTAGAAATCCATGTAGTGACCTCACACGTTACACTACTATCAGAACTAATGCAACTTTGGAGATACGCAAAACGCTTCACAGCGTTCAGTACCTCTCTTTGGATTGTAAATGCCATGCTCAGGGAGAGATGGCTCAGTGGTAAGAGCGCAAATTTACTGACTGGAAGGTCCACGGGTCGAACCTCTACCTCTGTAACTTCCCCCGTCTAGGCTTGGGCAACCCGACAATATCCCATCCATCCTGCTTTCTTCTGGTGGCATGACAGTTAGGCACCGAAAGGATGCTACAGCTGAACGATTTTTAGTAACACCAAGAGTCCATTAGGGTCTCCTTGGTCCCCTTGTAATTAATGCACTCATAACAGGCCCTTTTACTAAGGTGATCACTACCATTGATTCTCTAAAGCTGTCTGGGACCATCTCCTTCTAGATGAAGGTAATCAGATTAGACAACCGGACTGAGGAGTTCACTCCATCATTCAACAATGCGGGTGGGAGGTCATCCGAACCAGAAGCCCAGTAACATTTGAGAGAGCATTAGTGTCCATAAACTCCAGAGGTCTTAGGGTGTACCAGGTTAATCGTCCAGGGTTCCACTCCAATTCTAGGATCCAACCGAATAGCAATGAGTGATCTAGAAAATTGTTATACGAAGTGCTCGGGCCAGGTCGAGGCGTCCTTCTTCATTCAAAATGGTCGCACCTCTTTGATCCTTGACCGGCGGCTTCCGAGGACCGGTCGCACGGACCAACTTTAATAGTTCTCCGCATTCCCAGCTTTCCGGATATCTCCCGTTTCCTTAGCATTCGTATCCACCAGGTTTCACGGTCGGCAAACATGCCAAATTTGATTTGACGTCTGGTGTTTGTCACGCCAAATTGTGTTCGCGGCCAACGATAACACTTCTCTGAGATTCAAATCAAACTATTCTACCTTGTCCGTCACGAAGAGACTGTACCTTACCGTAGTATGACGGTTTGCGCAAATCAGCGATCCACTGAGCTATCCTGCGGGGTGTTCCCATGACACTCACAGTCCCTAATTCCAGGTTGGTCAATGGTTAGAGGTGGACGAACACAGTATGGTGGTCCTGCAGGTTGCGGGTTAGAACATGTGGTGACTTGTTCCTTAGAAATGGTAATGCATTTGCATTTCCCACCAAACACCGCTGCCTTCAATTCAACTCAATTTATCAGCTATAAACCATGTGCCAGAGGCATGGCAGCTAGGCACCGGAAGGGTGCTACAGCTGAACGCTTTTTTTTAAAACAAATGTGCCAGAGGCACATTGGTTCCAGGGCTGCAGTTTCGATCACCAGAAACATACAACCAAGCCTTGGATGCGGAGGCATGTTCAGTTTGTTCGAAAATTCGGTAGCTAAACATTGAAGGCGACAACATTTATGCATGACCGCCAGTGACTGTGCGACTGGACCATTTCCGCTAATGTCATTAACCACTGGTGATTTGAGTCCCGGGGACCCCATCCAGGGAGGTGGCAGTTTACTAGTTAGTGTTTTCGTACTTCGTTGCCAGGTCACACACTGTCCACCTCTCGGTCGCTTTCACTCAGCGCAGGACTGGGAGAAAACAGCTCCATGAGGTAGACGGTCTTCTGTCATGCGGAGTACATGTCCCAACCAGCGCAACCTATGAAGCGCGAGTAATTCATCTCTCACAGGAGAGTTCCTTCTTCCCAAGACCATCTGACGTACCTCAGCAGTACTAATCCGATGTTCCCACCAAACCTCGCCAATGATTCGGAGATACCCATGATCAAACACTAACATCTTCCGTATGCCCTCTGCGCGCAAGGGCCATGTCCTGATCCATAAAGCAGTAAGGATCATACCATCGTAGTGTAAACTCTTCCCTTCATAGACAAGATCACGTCACGTCGGCACCATAGGTGTCTGAGTTCGGCAAAACCTGTCCTAGCCTTTCTGATTCGAGATATAATCTCATCTCCAGCCAGTCCAGCGGAACTTATACAGCTGTCCACCACATCGTTTGGCTCACCTACAAGCATGAGGTGCGGGTACGTCACACCCGATCTTCTGTAGCACTTTACACTTTGTAGGTGCGAAGCGCACACCAAACCGTGCGGCAGTTATCTGGGTTATTTAAGATCGTTTGCATTTGGGAAGGATCTGAATCAAAGAGAGCAATATCGTCCGCATACTCAATGTCTGTGGGGTAACGTCCCGGGAGCATTTTGACTCCCGAGGTTTCAAATGAAGGCAGGAAAATTTCAAGCAGCGTATCGATAACAAAGTTGAAGAGGAAAGGGGAAAGAGAACAGCCTTGTTTTGCACCACTAGACGTGAACTCAGGCGAGAACTTCCCGTATACTCACATACGCTCAAAGGAGTTCGTATACAGCGCCCTCATAAGGGAGAGAAATTTGGAAAGGACATCTTTGGTCGCCAGATACTGCCAAAGTTGCCGACGATCGATAAAATCAAGTCAAATCCAGAAAAAAGTGGGACGCCTAAAGGAGTGGTACTGTTCACGAATATGTCTCAAGGTAAAGATATGCATCCTCGATCAAGGCGAAACCCAGCTTGATTCTCACGAATCCGTCTATCCGATACTCCATCAACCTGGGCAAAATAATACCAGAGAGCACCTCAGATGTGACGGATACCAGGCTGATGCCGCGATGGTTTTCACATGACGTTTTTGCTCCCTTTTTGAAAACTGGAATGACGTCGGGGAGCTCCATTCGGCTGGTATTCTGTTTTCGCTCCAAATCTTCTGCAGTATGGATGTCAGACTGTTCGCCAGGACCTCGCCACCTTCTTCGAAGAGCACAGAGTCTAGACCATCTGGGTCAGGTGCCTTGTCGCGCTTCAGGACTGAAACCTCACGGTGGATTTCGGTTGCTGATGGTGGGTCAGTGTCCATGTTCCATTCGGACCCAGTTAGTCCTTCCAGTGGCTGCGTTGAAGGACACCAGTTGAACTGTTCTTCGAAGTGCTCAGCACACCGCTCAAGACAGTGGTTGAGGGAGTCAATCGCCCTTCCGTCTTTTTCGCATATTGTTTCAGACACCTGCCTTCTTTTGACCGGTTGATCTAATCAGTTGAAACAGGGCGCAGCGAAAGCCTTCTCCATCTCCTAGGTCTTTGAAATCTACCAGCGTTCCCTGCCATTCTTTAGGCTCCTGATTATCCGGTGTTTGAGGGATTTGCGTGCACCATCATATTCGCTAGCTACTGGTATGGCGGTTCTGGCAACAATAAGGTCTGCTGATCTCGACAATATCCAGTGCTTTTTGAGTCAAGTCAGATGGGCTGGACAAACAGTTCTGAAAACTGAGAGCATTGTTTCTTTAACCCGTGTCCATATAGCATTCAGACAATCTTCTTCATATGCATGTCTGTGCGCTTCCAGTAGCTTTCCAGTCAAGCCAATTCGATACTCTTCATTTACTGAAACCTGCCGAAATTGATTAACGGAGCTGCTCTCCTTTGGCACGCGTAACGATGGCGGAAAGCGAAGCGCTAACCGAACCCATATGATGATGTGATCAAAGTCAAGTTGCGCACCCCAGAAGGACGACAATCCTTAACTGATACTCTCCATCGGTAACTGATAGCTACATGGTTCAACTGAGTCCACGACTGTCTTGTGGTAGTTGGCCTCCAAGTAACTCGGAGTGTGCGTTTGTGTTGGAAGTTGGTGCTGACCAGGAACAGACGAAGATTTGCACACAACTGAAGAAATCGCTCCCCACTATCCGTACGGTCGGGACTCACTCCAAATTGACCACCTAACTGTGCTTCTTCTGGACTTGGTCGTCCAACTTGGGCATTCATAGTACCCATTAGGATCACTATATCCGTCCTTCGTGTCGACCGAAGCGGTCGTGACAGATCTCGGTGAGACTCGTCCTTCTCATCCTCAGAACTGCAGTTTGCTGGTGTATAAAGATAGAAGAGTAATAATCATTCAGCTGTAACATCCTTTCGATGCCTAGATGCCATGTCACCAAAAGGAAGCATGAAGGCCAGGCTACTACATGTTTCCCAAGCTTAGGCAGGAGTTGGAGTGTATGCTACGACAAACACCGTTTACCGCATTCACCCACGTAAATACCAGACAACCGCACGAGGCAAACGCGACTGTTTACTGGGATCCAGCCCAATAAGGCGCCTTCAGCCTTCGGGCTGAGTGCAACTCCCACGCTGTAGATACCACGAGCCATTGCGTCAGGATCACCAGAAATCTGAAGAGTGAAACACCTGAGCTCGTTTGAGGCGGTTGGAGGAGCACGACCGAAGTCGGGTCTTGTGTGCGTGTTTCGGAGACACAACATAAGTCGACAGAGAGGGAAAGTAAGATTTCAGCAAGGAATGTCTGTTGCCCAGTTCGACGTAGACTACGGACATTAAAAGCTACAACGTGGATCTGACCTTTGAAAGTGATTATTTTGGTTTATTTCTCTTGGTGAAGGTTTAAATACCGAATATTTGCTAGGAGGCTAACAGATGGTTTGATTGCACTGCATTGTTGGACAAATGGGCAGGGAGTGTGGGGTTAGACCGATGAACGAACAGTTGCAAGGGCAAATGATACTTCCCGGTTGCCCAGGCCGACGAAGAGGGTTTAGTTGAGGTGCTCCACCTTGAGCCCTTGGTTCGAAAGTCTGACCCACAAATCAGTGAAATGATATGTTGTTTTGTTCTAGAACCCTGTGTCTAGCCTTTGACTCAAGAGTCTGAACCGCGAGGCAGCGATTGTTGGGGTTTTCTTAGGGGACCTTTACCGGAGCCAGTGACTGAATACACTGATCCACTTGCTTTTAAGGGGCCCACCTGGCACAAGGACGCATGTAGTAAGGCATTACTGTCTCGCTGTTGGTGCGGCTGCGCACAGGTGGCTTTTGACCAGCGCCATACACTTTGGTTTTAAAAGTAATTCGACCGTATTGAATAATTTGCCCGTGATCACCGTCAACCGTTAGGTGATCGGAGTGTGCGGCTTTCGGGGATGACCTTTTCTAATCGGGGGAAAGGCAGCGCCGCTGCTTCCATAAATATGGACATACTAGTCACCTGGGGGAAACGCCTTACTCCCTTCACACTCCTATCGCAGAGGACAGTGACTTTACCTCCAGACCGCCTCGTAACACGATTACTTGTAATACGGGGACTCGCTGTTTTTTGTTAGGCTGCTCCCCGCTAGTCTTCCTGGCATGACTGACTCTTCAAGAACTGAGTTTCAGTCAGTATAGCCTGCTGGATCATCGCTGCACAAAAGCCCGGTCACCACGATAAGGTGACAGCTTTATGTCGGGAAGATTTGGAACGAAAACAGAAC